ATGATGCCGAAAACACAGAGGTGAAGAAAGGAAGCCAAGAGGAGGATGAAGAAGAAGATGAAATATCCTCCTTCCTTAGCAGGTCCAGGCTAAGATCCAGGGCTGTGGTGGAGGAGGAACTGCAGGATGAGGATGTCATTACATCCTGGAGAAAACAGCTGGAATCAAAGTCATATTCATACAGGGGGAGTGAATCTTAAAAACATTGTCTTCAGAAAGGGCAAATTAATTTCTTCTTCAACGTCTAGATTCTTTAGATGTTAAAGTACAACAGAACTTATACTCCACATAACTACTCTTGCTAGAATGTCATCTACCTTGTAGCAATTTAAAAATTGCATTTACAATCTAAAGAGCTTTTAGATATCTTAAAAACCCTGCTCATGATCACAAGTATTGATACATCTGTCTGGTGACATTTCTCACCTGACACATTATGATCTGCAGGAATATTAAAAAAGACTCCTGCTATCATTGCACTAGCTTATAGAAAACCAGGAAATAGGTACAAAAACAAACCCTGATTGAAATATTCTAGATGAGCAGAATAATATCAGATGTTCAAGTCATAAACCCATGCTGATATTTTGTAATTACATTCTAAACACAAGCTTAATATTAAGAACACTGGACATAAATAAATTTTGAATCAATGGAAATTTAAAAATTTCAGAAACTGATTGCTTATCTCTTCCTGCATGTTAAATTCCTTTTCATGACTGGAGAAATGGCTGCCTGTCTCGCTGATGCAGGCTTGTTTTTTCAACATCTGAACAGAACCATTAAAGGTCTATATTTGCTGTATGAAGTAAGTATAGTGCTGAGACACACCAGCCAATCCTTACAATCCATTCTGTAAATAAATACTGATTTCACACATGCAATCATTTTAATTATAGTCTGCAGTGACTAACGATACATATTTGTTGTATCATTAGCCCATGAGTTTCCAAAGTGAATGTTTTGTATTAAATTCTGTGCGTGGACATGACTGAGTGATCATTTTATTTTTAAAAAAATCATACAAATACAAAGAGCTTTTGTGCAAATGTGAAAGTAATTTATTATGACCTGTATTTGTAAGAAGTTCATTCTTAGACATATAGCAAATACTATACCGCTAAAAATGTATTTCTGCAGGTTATTTTTTTTAAAGTGTGATCGATGTTCCACTTTTTGTGAAGAAATTATTGGACAGCCGTTTCATACCTCCAATGAATCCATGTTAATAATAATAAAAATAAATAAAAATCCCTCAATGCTTCATCAAATATCGATGAGTTTTAACTTTTAAAAAAAAAGTAATACAAAAGTACAGCAGAGAAAGTATAGTAAAGAGGCCTATATAAGTATACAAAACTACTAAGCTCATTATAAATTTCACTAATGAAGGACAGTTCTACTCATCATGGTTATGTGTGGATGCTGTGAAGTTCAGCCTTATCTCAGAAAGGAGCCTGCCAGTAGCAATAGTAGGACAGCAGAGTGTTTCAGTGTGGTCTCACACCTCAAGGGTTGTTGGCTGGACTCCTGCCCCAACTCTCTATGGCAAGCAGGGTTGCCAACTTTGGTCAACTGGCTGGAGTGAGATTTTTAATTTGTGACAAGTCTCACATTAGTGCGTGAACATATGCACATGTATACTTCCATGTATGTAACAGTTTTCTTACCTTGTAGATAGTCTGTAGGGTTTGCAAACTACCCCAATGCTTTTAATGTGGCTAATGTTTGGTTTATAATGGAATAATATATAGATTTGGCATTAGATTCTTGCATGAGTGTAAGATTAAGGATGAATGCATCACTCCAGGTTCACTCAGAAAAAAAGAATAATTTGTACCTTTGTTTGTCACTGGGGCTGCACCCGTAAAGGTCTGCCAATGGTACCCTTAGTTGTAGGTAAATGTACCTCCTAGTCTAATTTAAGGCACAGAAATGGACTGAGGAACATACTTAATGTACAAACATTAATGTACCCACAATGGTACAAAAATGTTTCTTGTAGTCCATTTCTGTATCTTAAAAGGTAGTTACCCTGGAGAGTACAGCCCCAGTGACAAGCAAAGATACAAATAGCCTATATTTTTCTGACAGCATAATCATATGCATGAGTAATGAACTTTACTACAATTTTCTTCCAGCAAACTGGCTAGTTTTTAATTAATTGAACAAATAAATTCATGAATCATGATAAATGGCAATGAATCATAATGGGGAAAAAAGATCTGGCTGCAGGGTGTTTCAATTGCAAGCGCCCAGTTACACACAAATTAGGCAAATACATAAAGACAGTCAGTGGAATTACTTAATCGATGGTAAAGGAAGATTTTTAATTAATGGGATAAATTAATTCACCGCGCTGGTTTCTAAATATAGCATTAATATATCTGCAACTATTAATCCAGTCTGATAGCGTTGAAACCTCTTTTTTATTTCAATGGCGGGGTCATAGTGAAGTGATATTATTTGTGCATGGCTTAAGCGTTGTCTGAAAACAAGTATCTTGAGAAGAAAATGGTCGCATTTGTTTTGGCTGAAAGACAGCATATGCAAGTCCGTTGCCTGAACCGTGCTGTTCCGCCCACTGTACTCCAGTATATTCAGAGGTTTCTTAAAACATCGCATGTATAAAAACGCATATCGTTTTCCCTCGGTCCATATGTTTTAGTTTAGAAAAAAACATGTTTCAGACGAACGCTTCGTTTGTGGAATTCTCCACTTTCACAGTTCGCATGTTTCCGAATAAAACCATTCCCGGTGTTTTGATCAGTATTGTTAACGGCCATATAATTAAATGCATGAATGCCCGACTCTGTGTTCGCTGCTGCGTGAGGGAAAGTGGTCGTTTCCAGTCGCCACCCCCCTTTTCTTTTTTTTTGTTTTTCGAAGTTCGTCAGTTTTCGCCAACTGTTTCCGACGGCCAATGGAAGTTCCCTTCGGATTTTAAATCGATCACTGAAATATTTTCCCAAGTATTGTTTCTGGATTATGCTAATACACCGAAAAGGTTTCACGTCCGTGGAATAATCAGCCGCATAATGTGTTTTTCTGTTATAAGGCGGGGTGTATAGTTGTGTATCTCGGGGTTGGGATTCGGGGTTAAATATTCAAAATGGCGGACGGAGGAACGACGAGTCAAGATGGGAGTTCGGGAGCAGGTAATATTACTGAACTTTACATATTCATATTCATATTCAAACACTCTCAACTTTTGTTGGGGTCAGGATTTATATAACACCAAGCTCTAAAACACTGCATCGCATTATAAACGACCCAAGATGGGTGTTCAGGAGAAGATAATATTGGTGAACTTTACATATTCATCCGCTCCTACATCAGGACCAGGAATAAAATTCAACATTGTGTCATAACATCTTATTAACAATAATGGAGCAGACGAGCTCTTGTGCGTTGTTTCCCCCATGTGAGTCGAAATGGGGCGATCGTAAATTTAAAGTTAAGCATGTTGTGATTAACTCATAGCGTTAAACATTTCCAGCGAGTCACGGCTTGAGCACATCTGACGGCTGTGATCTACATTTACTGTGGTCAGCTGTCGGAGTGTTTGCAGGTCGCTGATTAGCCATGTTTATGCTAACGCTAGGCTGTTTTGCGTTTGAATTGGCGAGTCGAGTTTGCATATTCACTCCCCGGCTGGCGGCGGCAACACCTCGCACTCCCGTCAGCCTAACAGCTACGGAGCCCCGCAGTCTATTCATCCACATGCAGAATAACCATAACCCCAATTATTCTCGTACAGAATAACCCTAAAACCAACTAACCGATATAAGTTTGCACATTCAATCCCCGACTGCCAGCAGCAGCACGCCGCCCTCCTGTTAGCCTGACAGATACGGAGCCCCGCCATCATGCATAAGACTAATTATTCACAAACTGAACTCTCATATATCTTTCGCCTCAGTAATGATTCCTGCACTAATACGGCCGTCAGTTTCAATGTTACTTCTCCCGTCGGCTGATTCCTGCCTGTCCGGCCGAGGCAGACCAGTGTCTGCTTTCAATATTTCGCTGCTAAGCCGATACTCTTGCAACATTTTTATAGTTTTTTCCCCTTCTTTTTCAAACCTACAAAGGGATAAGCGGGTATGTATCTGCTTCTGTTCGCTCTTTTAACTCAACAACTTCACCACAACTGATGTATAACTGCAAAGTAACTTAATAGTATTTTTTTTGTGTGTGGTACAAAATGCTTACTGCCTGAACTTGATGCGACACTGTCATTTACATTTAATTAGGCGTTTTAGTCCGAAGCGACTTTCGCGCATTTTAAGCCTATAGGCGGACTCCACATACGGACTAAAAGTAATTTTCATAACTTATTATGCAAACCAGTCCCCTAAACCGTGCTCATGTCACTTCGCAGTTTTATTCTTACCAGTTTGAGCTATTTTGTTCAGCAGATGCTAAGTATTCCCGTACCGTGGAGGGTCTGTTTGCCTGAGAAACGAGCTTGACACTTGTCAGAAGTATTTCTTAGTATTAGTTTGTTGGTTAGACATCTTTGCATGTTAGGAGTGAACAAGTCAGGCGGTAAGATTTTCGAAAATAAACACGCCCCACGTTTCTCAGTATCTACATGTTTAATAAATATGATTAAACCATTGCAAACTCCGTGTGCTGTCCTCCGTGCCGGGGTGTGTTCTGGAGTGGTGAATATATTAGTGTCTCATTACAATGTATCTGCTTGGGAGGTTTCTTTTATTTAAAATGGCTGAATAGATCCCCGCCTCTCATGTTTAGTAATACACATCTTTTTAGACATACACTCGCTCTGTTTTGTATTTTTTATACGAGGCCATGTGCGTTTGTGGTTTCAGTGATTCCTTCTCCTTCGGCCTGCCGTTATCCAGGCGGCGCCGGCGGTCCACGCAAGGCCCAGGCTTTTCGCGAGAGCAGGCCTCTGGCTCTTTGTTTATTTCGTTTTTCTTGATGTCGTATTTCATCCGACGGTAATCTTAAGTATATGCTTGATTTCGCCGCTGGCATTTATTTTGTGCGTGTTTCTTTTTAGATTAATTTAAGGGCTGAGTTAATATTGACAGTTAACGAGGAAGTCAATGTAGTTCATTTGGTCGGTTATCTGCTGTCTTAAAGTTAGTAATACATTTAATAAAACGGCTTTTATCAAGTATGAAAATGTGTAAAATATCCAATTTTGTGTATATATAATTTGTAAAGGAAATTGTTACAATTAAAATGGTTGTTTTTCCATATAACATAAGAATGCTAATTCCTGAGTGATCAAACTGATTAGAATTGTACATGCATGCATAGTACAGCTGCCCATCTCAGACGTAATTGGGGCGGTGTGTGGCTCAGCATGTTAGGACTCTGCTTCTGATCAGAAATTAACAGTTTGGAATTCCAGCACTGACAGTCTAATAGCAGCAGTGGGCCCCTGAGCAAGGCCCTTGACCCTCAGTTGCTCCAGGGGCACAGGGCACTGTCTGAACCTGTGCTGTTGGCCAAGCTATGGGCAGCAAGATGGGATAGGGAAAGAGAAGAACTTCTGTACTTGTGCAAACGGCAAATATAGGATTTATTTTTATTTATTTACAGTTTGCAGTAAAGTGCTGCTGCTTGCTGAACAGTGTCTATTGATTGAGTTGATATAGGTACCGTCTCTCTCTCTCTCACACACACACACACACATATACATATATAATGTAAAGGATAATTTATCTATATATAACCTTCGTAGGTGTTCTTGGTATTACACCTACAATGAACTTGTTTGAGTAAAATGGGGTTAACCACACATGATGTTCAAATAAGTGGTGGAAAATCTAAATGTTTAAAAAATGATGTTGTCTTTGGTGCTGGTGAGGTATATTGTGCTTTAGCTGTTTATTTTTAAGTTGAAGGAGTACCAGTTATAAGTTGTTGTGCATTTTTGTTCCATTGAGGACTGTGTGTGCATGTGTGTGTTTGTTCAGGTATATATGACATTGTAGGGGCCAAATGTCCCCACAGTGTGATAAAAAACTTGTTACATGGACCTTTTGGGGACATCTGTGAGTGCAGTCAAAAAGCTAAAATAGCCGTAAGACTTGCATTTTGTTTGGTTACTTATGGTTAAGGCTAGGGCTGGGTAGAGGTCAGACTTGTCATAGTTGGTATTAGGGTTATGCTCAGAGAAATAAATGGAGAATCAGAACCAGAAAGGGTATTTGTACGATAATGCTCTGACCCAGTTGAATGACAATAGATCTTGTGACCACAGCTATGCCATATCTAAGTTTGGGGGGGCTGGGGGTGGTGTTAGTGACACAGTTATTGCAGAAGTGTTAATATTTTTTGGCAATTCCTTTATTCAGTTGGTTTCTTTTTAGTAAAGACCTAGTGTAGTTTACTTCAGAGCTGTGAATCATCTACCATCATTTTCACATGCCCATCATGCTGTGTGAGGTAGACTTGATGAACCTCAGTTTCAGATTTTAAAACACCAAAGAAAAGTGCAATCTTGGTACTACTGTTTTACACATACTGATGAGGTCTAATTATAGATTGTTACAATAGTTTGACCAAGAATAGCATTTAACTCGGCTTGAATTTTAAAAAGTAATAAGCTATATGTCCTTCATATTGCCATACATTGTATTCAAATTTGAAATAATTTTAAGCATGGCAGAAATTTGTTCCTACAGTGTATTGCTCTAAATAGGTATTTGAGTTTATGCATGAATATGGATGAGGGCAGACGTAGTGGTCATGAATAATTCATTTATCACTCCACTGACTCCACAGCTTTCAGATGCTACAGCACAAATAAGCTGTGTGGGGCGTTCTGGCCAGTGGCCACTTGCTGTGAGGACATGGGCCTTATCTGCTTTCACATGTGAGCAAGTTACCCTCCAAGTTGTGCCACGTAATATGTGTGCAGGTGTTCGGTTTTGCCTTTTTAGGGGTATTGAGAGGTGTCTGTTCCCTGGTTCTGGAGAGCCAGTGTATATAGACTTATACCCTAATTCACATGCTGGTCGTTTACTCTGTTTTGACTGTGGAGACGGTGGCTCTTCATGGTGCTGGTCTTCTGTCAACATCCTTGAATTTTCTGCCTCTGGATCCCACTAGTAATAAAAGAGGGGTCAGTGTTAAATGTGACCACAAGATGGCTCTCATTAAAATGGAATATAAGAATATTCCTCATCTTCATCTGCATGGTTCTGGAATTAGCATTTTCTCTTATTAGTATCTGAGTCACTGTCTGCAAGTGCATCCTGAAGACATTAGTCTCACTGATTTCAGTAGCCTAGAGCTATGGGCTATGGACGTTTCATTTTCAATTGTTTGTTTAAAATTGTTAAACTCTGCATAGTGTATCATTGGATCTGAACAGCCACAGAATGTAAATTTTATATTTACGATCTCATTTTTCCTCAGCTAAAATGCTGTCGTCCCCCACTCCTACAAAAGCATGTAGTCGTTGCAACAGTAATGTTAAAAGAAACTGAAAGTTTGTTAGTCACCTCCTATATCATATTTGTCAGTTTGTACATTTGTATCCTCTTAAGATATCACTGGCCAGCAAACTGTATGTTTATCTGCTTGGGATGATGAAGACACAGCTGCCATGTTATCAGCCGCAGAGGTTTCTGGCTTTTATTTATTTTTTTATAACTGGAATGTTTTGACTATCAGAAATCATTGAACTCTGCTCCTCAAAGTTCTGTCAGACGACTTTAAGATGCCTGTCAAATTCTATGGGCTTTGAGATTTCTGTAGTGTAGGTAGCATTTTACTTTAAAAAAAAAAAAATGTACAACTTCCTTTCTGCATATGATTTTCATTTATTGACTTCAAAGCCTTATCTTCACTAAATGAACACTAAAGAGTTCCAGGTTATCTGAATATGCTAATACAGTTGAGCACGCATGCATATATTTGCATACGGATTGCGCTGCAGCTGTAAATGTAGCCTTCCATGTTAACTGTCTAGGATGCTGCATGTTGTGCTGCGTAGCTGTTTTGCCAGAAGTTGTGTTAATGCAGGATTTTGCATTTCATAAACAGGAACAAAAAGGTTACAAAATGCACCTAAGAACACATGTATATTGATTTGAACAGTAATTAATTTACAATTTTGACTCCTGTAGAATGTCAAAAGGATGTGGAACTTTAAGTGCAATTAATCAGCTTGTTAAATAGGTTTGCTGATTTTGTAATTGTGATTTCTGTTAATGCTAATTTATACATGAGAATAATATTAATTGGCACTATGTGTAAACAGATACATTTTGAAGCATATAATGAAGTTAGAAAAATCAAGTAGCTGATTCAGTTGGAAAATACCATTGCTTTTAAAAGCATAGCTGCTTAGCTGTGGATCACAGCCACAAAACGTTTCACCTTTGCTGCAGTTACTCAGTCCCCCTGGATCCACATCAATGTGGATGTATGATTTTACTTCTGTACTTGACTGTTTCCTTTTTATAATGTACACTGAAAACTGCTTTTCTGAATAAACATAACATTAGTGAGATTAGGCTTCTACAGACCTGGTCTGCTGCGATGCTATGGTTAGCCAATCACAGAAGGTGGTAGGTGCTGGTGTTTGAAACAGTGCTCTCTGTAACTTAAGGTGAAATCTACTCATTTAGACAATAATATAAATGGTGACCATGGGGGGGGGGAACTACAGACTTATTACTGTTCAGTCTTGCATGGTGTGCAGATGGCAAATGCCTGTGTTATGGCTGGACATGGATTGCTGTGCTATAGGGCTGGACAGGCCTTTGCTGGCCCATGGGTAGGCTCTCGATGTCAGTGTATAGGTGGGTTACGCTGCCACCCCCCGGTCACCCTGGCTACCGGTGCTGCGTGCCATCAGCATCTCTCTCGCCCGTTCACTCTCTCTGCTGTTATTTGGACTCACACCCACTTCCTCACCATGAGGCTGGGTTAGAATCAGTCTTGTTATCCAATTAATATGGTAATGAGCTGATAAATATTTATGACAGATTTAAATTATGCAGAAAGCTTTCTGTCCTTTATGCGAAATGAATCGCTCGCAAGACTTCAAAGCACTCGCACCACACTAACGAGCGCGGAAAATTTGCATAGGACTTTAATCAGCTGCATACTGATTATGCCTCATTACTGAAAGTGGCAGCTGCAGTCTTTGTCTGGCTTATTCCAGCGAAGAGGAACTTTTTTGCACTTGGGCTGCCATAACATCCGAGAGAAGCAGAGGAGGTGCTCGTGCATCCACAGAGCCAAAGGCTGTTTGAGACTCCCCTCTGCTGGGTCGCTCTATACTCCCCTTTAACGATACCCGCATCTTAGAGCTGGCTGGGAGCTGTCCTGTACTCCTCTATGCTTGTGACAGGTGAGAGTGGTTTGTGTGTCTGTCTGTCTGTCTGTCGGTGTGATTAATCTGTGCATTTCTGCACTACTGCTTGCCTGTCAGTAAATGCAGGTACTGAGCCCCAGTGCCTCTTGTGTACAGTGGTGGACTGGCATCTGTGGCATTCATCATGCTGAGATGACTGGTCTGGTGAATAACGTTGTCTTGTCTGTTTCAGAGTCAGGAATGAGCAGTCCGTCTGAATCAAGCAAAGGAGCCATGGGCAATGGCGAAGGAAGCCCGGGGCTACGGACAAACGGAGTGGACTTCGAGAGACGGAGTGTGCAGACAGACTCTGTCAGCAGTACCAACACACAGACCCTGCTGCAACAGGTAACAGACATGCCCTTCTTTTGTAGTGGACTCCTATCGACTAAATTTTATACGGTGCTAAACTGTAACTTAATCTCAGGATCCTTTAAAAAGATATATATTGTCAAAACACGTTTCTTATCTAAAGAGGTGAACAAAACGTTACCCCAGTTTTAGTTTTGCGTTGCTGGAGTCACTGTGCTTGTAGGGCATTTTTGTGAAAAACTCTCACAGCTGTCTCGTGCTATAAACGCACAGATGTGCACGCCAGCGGCATGCACACTCCTATTGTTACGCTTACATCTTTCACAAAGAAGCTGTATTGCTGCTGCTGGCAGATTACCTGCACATTGTATAGCTCTATAGTGTGATGTGGGATTCTGATTCCTGTGGTGTTTCTGCTCGTCTGGGGAAGAGCTGTTGAATCAGCCCTCTATTTTAATTGTTGTTGTTCCTTGGGGAAGAAATGAATAAATATGCAAATATATGCAAAGTTCAGCAGCACAGCTTAAGTAGTTTTATATTACCATACTCTGCTGTGTTTCCCCTGAAGATCTTTAAGTAGATTTTAAATGTATTTTGATATTATGTGTAAAGCCAGAAACAGTGAAATTGCTTTCCAAACTATCTCTGATTTGTTAGACTTGGGCCTCTTAGCACAAGGAACTGATCCATTGAATCTTCTACTTTGCTGTTCTACTGAGACAACTTTATGGAGGTTCTCTGGGTGCCCCTAGCTGTATAGAGTGTTGTGGCGACTTTGCGTATTTTCCCTCTGTAGTCTCGTAGACCTTCCTTGGGTGTCCTGGATCCTGTCATGGAGCTTCTGTAGGTGTCTGTCTTTTTCCATCTTCTCCGTTTGTAGGGTGTTGTTTCTAGCCCTTTTTTATGTAGGGATTTTTATTTAGGGTGTGGCCCTCCATGCTGTGAAGACTGTATGTCTCATACTGAAACTGATATGATTTTATCATCTTTTTAATCAAGTACTGTGTGAGTAATGATGCTGAGTTTTATGTTGTTCTTTTTATAGTAATTAGGTTTATTTGAATTAAAGTGTATTTTAAATGCCAGTAAGATATTTGATGTAACAATTACAAAAACTAGGGCTTTTATAACCTGAAGACTAAACTTTGCTGACCATCTTAAGCTTCTGCTTAATCTGTACCATTTGGTTCTTTGTGTTGAGTGCTGCATCAGCAGGATTTTGTGGGTGTAAATGTAAGATCATACTCCTTTTTACACAGACTCTGCTCTGTTTTGGTTTTAGTCCAAGTCTGCAGATGCAGCAGAACCCCCGCCCACCATCCAGTTGGGGGCGCTGCCTCAGGCTCAGCTTATGTTAGCTGGGGGACAGATCACTGGAGTAAGTGGCACGTTGTGGTCTTGTTCAAGGCTCCCTGGTGTTTGTAAACGCCCCCAGCACGCTTTCTTTTGGCTTCTTTGTGGTTCCTGTTTTGTTCTCTTTGTGCAGTGCAAACATGATCGATGTTCTTTGCTCTGCTGTCACAGCACAGTCAGCATGGGTTTCAGCATGCATAGTACACCTTTCCTTAACAAGGCCTTAGCATGCTTCTCCGATTTCTTGCTTGTGTGCTGCCTTTATCTCTCTGGGCTTATGATTATGGGGACCAACTTAGTAGCAGGGTCACATCTGGAGAATGAGGTTTAGTAATTTTGGTGCATAGTATGTATGAATTGTTAAAACCTCCAGTTGGCTGACCCAGTAGAGGACTTCGGGTCCATAGAACAGATTCATAAGGATAGCCCCTATATGCAAATCATCAGTTTAACTGATAAACACTAAATGCAAGAAAGAATGCGAAGTGTGAAATAAATGATATGTAAAGTATATTTAAAAACCTGATTAAGGAATTATTATACATAATGAAGTTAATTGGTGGTTCTGCTCTCTTAGTTTTGGGTCTGCCTTAAATGTTGTGCAAGGCCAGAGGCTGGAGCTCCTGTGTAGGTAAACGTGTGAATAATGGCCTTTCTAAACAGATCATTAGTGATTTCCCAGAGGGCTCATTATCTCCCGGTGTGAGTACTTGCTTTAAATCGCCCTAATGAGTGGAGCAGAGTTGTGTGCCGAGTGGAGGTGGCATTGACCGGCAGAAAAGTGTGGGTCTGTACCCTGATTGAACGGGGAGAGATGGGGTGCTGTTAGCTACCCCACAGTGCTCTGCTCCGCGTCGTGGCCCCGGGGCCCGTCTCTCTGCTCCTCCTCATGGGATGCCGATGGCCAGTGTCTTTCCTTCATGGCACAGGATGCCGCCAGTGCCCGTCTCTCTTCTCCGCATTGTGCGATGCTGGCTATGCCCATGTCTCTGCTCCATGTGATGGGACGCCGCCACTGCCCATCTCCCTGCTCTGCGTCACGGCATGCCAGCTCTGCCCATCTTTATACTCCGCGTCACAGGACACCGCAGTCGCCCATCTCTTTGCACTCCTTTTTTTTTTCCTGACATACATTGTGTTGTTGCTTGTCTCAGGCACATGTTTTGCTCTGTGCTCATTCACAGAGCTCTGACCTTTGTTCCCTCTCTTGCCGCTGCAGTTGACGCTGACCCCAGCACAGCAGCAGCTCCTGATCCAGCAAGCACAAGCGCAGCTTCTGGCTGCAGCGGTGCAGCACTCGGCCAGCCAGCAGAGCAGCACCACAGGAGCTGCCATTTCTGCCTCTGCAGCCACGCCCATCACTCTCTCCCAGCCCATCCAGATCACACCAGTAAGTGGTGCTCCTGCTTAGTTCAGGGCCTGCAGAGTGTGTCAGTGCATCATATCTTGTGTACATTTAAAGAGCCTCCTTGCAGCTGTATTAGACTGTTTTTGGGTATGTCTCTTTCCCTGTGTTGTTCTTGATGCACTGCTCCCGTAATGACATGCATCCCTTTTGTTCTTTGCTTGGAGGATTTCCAGCAGCTACAGCAGCTGCAGCAGCAGAACTTAAATCTGCAGCAGTTCGTGCTGGTGCAGCCGGGCCACCCTATCGCCACGCAGCTGCAGCCGGCGCAGTTCATCATCTCGCAGACGGCTCAGGGGCAACAGAGTACGTGTGCCACCGTGACTGTGTCGGCTCTGCTTTGCTCACCTTCTCGCTTTGTGTATCACACCTCTTGTGTTCCTGTTTGCCCTACAGATATTCTGCAAGCCCAGAATCTGCTAACACAACTACCTCAAAGCCAAGGCAATCTGCTGCCGGCTCAGACAAGCATCGCCATCAGCACTCAGGTCTGAGGCTGCCTGTAGATATCGGAATATTCGTGGAACCAAGTGAAATGTTTCTGAATAGCAATATCACTTCTCTTGCTTTGTTGTACAGCCAGCGACACCTACACGCACAATCGCAGCTGCACCTGTGCAGGCGATCAACCACGTAACACCAAAGCGCATAGACACGCCCACTTTAGAGGAGCCCAGCGACCTGGAGGAGCTTGAGCAGTTTGCCAAGACATTCAAGCAGAGGAGAATCAAGCTGGGATTCACTCAGGTTTGAGGGCACTCTTCTCTTTATTTGCAGACTTACTTTGGGATCAGGGTGGGGATTCTGCATCTCCATGCTGGCTCCCAGTAAAATATGATTAGTTTTAAGATTATTTTATTTACATACAAGGCCCTTACCCCTCTGGAGTTGGCGATCCCGCCGGCAGGATCTGACAGAAATTTCACCAAACCGTTTAAATAACTGAGTTTTTGTCATACACATTTAAAAAAACACCATCAGAAAACTTGGATGGTATATTTTTCATATATATATATATATATATAGGTAGAAACTAAATATTTTTTTACAGCTAGAAAGAACAAGAGTGACTGACTTAAGCATCTGCGTCTCGAAGCGGCTCTGATCGCCCACCCACTTGCAAATCGCGCTATTCGCATGATAATAACATGATAATCCGACAGTTAGTATTGGGTAAAGAAATATGTGGATATGCCCATTGTGACCGAAATAAACAAGAGCACATGTCTGGGTAGTGTTTGCACTGATCGGCTACAATATAGCACACGGATACGTCTCTGCCGCTGAAGCTTTGCGCCAGTGTTACCACTTTCAGCAGCGAATCTCATACAAGTGTTCATGGCTCGGTGGGCTAAGCCTGTGTGCCTATAATCACACGATTGCCGGTTCAAACCCAGCCTATTTAGAAAGTGAATAGCGATCTTCAGCTGAGAGCGGTCCTACACGCCCCCGATGCAGGTAAGACAAAGAAAGGTGACATGGTTGACTTTTTTGCCGATTTAACCTAATTTTAAAAACTTTAAAACTAACGACAATGGAAGTTTTGAAAAGAAGACAGATTATGGATTTAGTCAGTGTTTTTTTCATGATTCTACATAATGATTTCAGCGAGATATAAACTGAAATACACGAGAATGATACGCGGTCAACGATGCCCTCGTCCCCAGAGCATTAATAATAGTGAATTATTTTATTTCCGTCAACTCTGCATAGGCGCTGCATCATATTTATATGGTCAGTTTTTCATTTTTCATTCCCTCTACCAATAAACTGTGAAAAGGATTTTATTGTTGCTACTTGCGTTTCAAACTACCTTTCCAAAGTGATGGGTGTGGGGTGACATTCCAGACTGATGGGCCATTGACAGTATGCAAACTACTACAGGTGTAGGGACACCTGTCTCATCTATATTCATTGTGCAGGCCACTGACTTTGAGAAAAAGTGTCACTCTAAAGTTCAAACACCCCAGTAATCAAACCACATAAAATTTCAGAATGTCTTTCACCTATGTGTAGCCAACCCCTGTGTCTATAAGCTTCAGAGCTCAAAAGTCTTGGCTAAAAATGTCTATAATGTGATTTTTTTACAATTTCTCAGCATGTCTGAAAATAGGTTTCTGAAAAGCATATGTTTAAAGTTGATTTTAACAAAAAATAGAATAATAACACTCTAAGTCAGCGGTCACTAACAGGCGGACCGCGGTCCAGGTCTGGACCCAGAAGCTGTCCCATACGGACCCGGACCGACAGCCAAAACGTTTAGTTATTATTTAAAACCTGACGGGGCGCTTTTATTTTAACTGGCGCAGCGTTTGTAGTCTTTTCGGTAGTGGTTTAGCAGTATAACCGCCGTTTCCCACGCCAATGAACGTCAAACGCCTTTGACCGCCAAGCAAGACGTATAGTTCGGCGTATGCAGCCCTTTGTCTGCGCTAATGTGCCTTTCGTGTTAATAGCAGCAGCGAAGCTAACACCCGCAAACAAAAAGCGTTATGTTCCTAACAGAGTGGCTGCGCTCTCCTGAAATCGTAAAGCTGAAAAGTTTTCAAATACAATATATATTATATAACACGTTGGATAAATAGATGTAGTTTATTGTTGATTGCATGTTCGTTGAAGTTTCTGCATTTTAACATATGTATAAAGTAATGTTATCTGTTATATAAATAAACTCATGTGAAACAGAAAATGTACGTTTTCAGGGTTGCCAAATCTCAAGCATCTGGCATGACACGCTTTCAGACTCATGCTGGAAATCTTACGGCAAATCTATATTATTCCATTAAAAAACCTAAAATTAGCTACGTCAAAAGTGCATTTACACGGTTAAAAAGCAGACTATTTACAAGGTGAGAACTGTTACATGTGTGCAGACATCTCGAATTGAAAATCTCACTCCAGCCAACTGGCCGAAGTTCTATGTCACGTGACAAAAAAAATAACGTTTTTGAATTGTACTGAATTAATTTGATTTGACAGTCAGGTACTGATTACATACAATGTTGATGCAACTAATAGGCTACTTAAATATATATCACACTATTAAATAGTTAGACATTATGATCTTCCGGACCTTTGCTTCAAGAATTTTTCTCTAACTGGACCTCTTTAAATTTTAGTTGAATACCCCTGCTCTAAGTGGTCTCAGATTATTGGTGCCGAGTTTGTGCTGAATAAAAGCAAATGTAACACTTTGGGATAAATGTTTTTTAGATAGGTGAAATATTTTAAAATGTCAAGGCATGTCAGACCATCCCGAAAGTGGCTGAGAGGCCTCAGGCTGCAGAGGGTTAACAATCAGGTGTCCACTTACGTCTGTGACCTTTTGAGCCAATACTCGGCAAACCAGACATTCAGGTCTTCCTGTTGTCCCCGGATCCAGGTGTAAGACTAAGGGTTACGGAGCTTTTGTGGTTGTGCCCCAAGGCTGAGGAACAGTCTGCCCATGGCCGTTAGACCAGCCAGCAATGTGGACACTCTAAAAGGATATCTGAAAACTTATTTGTCCAGAAGCCTTTTATTGATGTTTGAATATCTTTGTTTTATTTCCTGTAAAGCACTTTGTGCTATATAAATGAGCTACTTATTAACCCTCTGGGGACGATGCAGCATATTTTTCGCGTCTATTTCAGTTTATATCTCTCTTAAATCTTTAAGTAGAATCATGGAAAAAAAACACTAAATCCGTAATCTGTCTTCTTTTCAAAACGTCCATTGTCAGAAGTATTAAAGTTTTTAAAATGAGGTTAAATCGGCAAAAAAGTAAATCATGTCACCTTAACTTTGTTTTACCTGCATCGGGGGTGTGTAGTACCGCCCTCACCTTGAAGATCGCTATTTGCATTCTAAATAGCCGCATTACCGTGTATTCAAGTCGCATTCACACGGTAATTTGATGAACAACGCAATGGGGAAACGCGATCCAGATACAGCCCCATCAGCGCCATAAAAGGGGGGGGGGATGTGGCCAGGTGTGAATGGCTCATGCATACACATGAGAGCTCCTACATATTCAATGGAAGGAGCCAGAAATAGTGACATGAGTTAGGCTTTTCTTATTTATTCAACTGAATGTTGCAACTGCACCATTTAGTCATCTTCATGTAGCCAAAACAATGGTGATCAGATATCTGGGATCAAAACAAACTGGCACCATTGCTTACTATGAACTTTCATAATGTTTCTGCAAGTGTTCGACTGCATTTTGCAATGTCTATACTTTGACGTCAGATTACAAACTTAATATAAATCTGACATAATTTAAATGTATATTATAAATAAGATGAGTGTGATGCCAAAACAAATATATGATATAATTTATTTGCCATGAATTAAGTTTATGATATTGAATGAAATGTGTGACCATGCCCCAGTCAGTGAAAGTGTCTTCCCTACTACTTACTTGCTCTTCTGTATAAGAAGGCAGGCTGGGTATTTTCCCCACTGATTTCTGGCTTGTCCTGAGAGCATGTACTCTTTTTCTCTTTCTCCAAAGGGGGATGTCGGCCTTGCCATGGGCAAGCTGTATGGGAATGACTTCAGTCAGACCACGATCTCCCGCTTCGAAGCCCTGAACCTGAGTTTCAAAAACATGTGCAAGCTGAAGCCGCTGCTGGAGAAGTGGCTTAACGATGCAGGTCTGTCACTCAGAGCTTGGGCTCTAAAGCTGTCTGAACAGACCATTCTTCATATAGTGTTTCCCAGTCCAGTCCTCGTGGGCCCAGAGATGGTCCACATTTTTGCTCCCTCCCAGGGAGCTGGAAGGGAGCAAAAACATGGATTGATTGTGGGTCGTCCAGGAGTGGATTGGGAAACACAGGCATAAAATATCGAGGATATGTCCATATGTCCAGCCCATATGTCATGGGCCTGGATCATTGAGGATGTGTGCATGTTCTTTCCTTGTCGTCGTCTTGCTGAGTGTTTATGCACATTCTTCACAGGTGCTAACCATTCCTCCTCCATCTGCCGTCTTTGCAGAGAACCTCAACTCAGACCCCTCCCTGTCCAGCCCCAGCGCCCTTGGCTCACCGAGTCTGGGCATGGAGGGTACCAACCGGCGCCGCAAGAAGCGGACCAGCATTGAGACCAACATTCGAGTGGCCTTAGAAAAGAGTTTTCAGGAGGTAAACGAACCTTCACACCTCACCTGGTGCTCGGGGACTTCTGTGAAATGTCATAATGAAGCTTCCTGGACCGTGTGTGGATAATGGTCCGCTCTGCTCACCTTGGCCTTGCCTGACTCCCGTAATCTGGGCGTCATGACGCCTTTTACGCCTCATGCTGACATGGCAATTGGTGTCTTTGCCCCTTTTAAGCAGAACCAAAAACCTACCTCTGAGGAGATCACCATGATCGCCGATCAACTGAATATGGAGAAGGAGGTTATCCGCGTTTGGTTCTGCAACCGCCGGCAGAAGGAGAAGAGGATCAACCCACCAAGCAATGCCAGCACTGGAAACACAGCAGTTAAAGCAGTGTTTGCTCCTTCCAACCCTGTGGTACGCTCCACTCCTCGTACAATGACACATGTAGGGGTCTCCTTCAGCAGCGTTTTCAGTTCAGTCTCCCTGTTCTGGTGATGTTTCTCATCTTGGGGAGACTGGATTCCTGGAGCTGCTTGTGTGTGTGTGAGCCTCCTGAAGCTTGAAACCGCTCTGGTTTGTATGTGTATGTACGTGCATGCGTGCACGGCCCTCTGACGCTTGGAGCTGCTCACTTCTGAAGCTCTGCTCTCCCCAGGTGTCGAGCACGGCCAGCCTAGTGACCAGCGCAGCCCCCGTCTCGCTGGCTGGAAACCTGCCCCCAGCACTGACCAGCACAGCCGCCTCCAGCCTCGCCTTCACAGGTGTGAGTGATGCGGGAATGCTGGGAGATACTGGTGGTCATACCTGCCATCCCAGCTGGCCAATCTGTGTGAGTCCCCTGGAAACACCCTGTTAAAGGTTTCCCTTTATTCCAGGCCCGACCCTCGGGGCAGCGACTACAAACACCGCGTCTGTCATATCAACGGTTACTATGACGACATGCACAGCGACACCCTCGTTCGGGGAGGGAGGCCGGCCCCAGAAGACGGCGGTGGTGACTCAGGTGCCGGCAGCTTCCAGCTCGACCTCGCAGGTGATGATGGCGACGCCCGGGCTGCCGGCCGCCCTGCAAAGTGCCGCCATGGCTGCCGCGGCTGCGGGCCTGGGCCCGGGGCTCGTGGCGTCCCCGCAGTTCACACCAGGGTAAGGCACGCACCAACACCGTGCTCTGGCACGCTGACACTTTCACGCAAGCCTGCTGGCGGTGGGGATTTGCATAGCTATCCCCCTTGAGTAAAGCTGTACTTTTCTCGCTCTAGATATCAAAATACTCTGTCCAAGCGTGTAAGGGCAGCTTCCGTCCTGAATCATTTGCATCTGTTTTTACTACCAGTATTCTGCTGTGTTTATTGCTAGAAGAATGTCTGTAATGAAAATATACCTCGTGCACCTTTTTCAACACAACCACATTTTTTCATAGTTTTTTTTTGGTCACATATCACTTCCTAATATAATGCAGTTCCATACATCTGCTTTATATGTTGTTGCGATTCAGCATTAATTTTTGTTCTCCGTACATGACACTTAATTTCTGTAAAGAGGGCAGTTCAGGCTTTAAGATAAAGTTAAATATTTAATTAAACTAAAATTGTGTGTGCGTATTTGTTAAAGATGGAGCATAAGAATCAGTTGTTCTTCAGTAACTTCAGTAAAAACCAAATTATCAAATAATTTGGAGGAACACAAACATTGATGGCAATATAGTATTGATTGCAATATAAGTATAGAAATACAAGTACTTGCTTGGAGCAGGTTGGTAAAAGAAATAATACAGCAATACTTAATGTCCACTTAATGCTATTTGGTTAATGTATTGCAGTTTTAATTTTTCAAATGCTCAGGCTCACTGTAATGGTTATCTTAAAGGTATACTTTTTTTGGATGGTAAAATTGAAAGTGTTAACCTTGAGTATTTAACGGAAGCTCTCTCTTTTCTGTAACTAGCTATTAAACTATCCAGCTGATCCCATGTCACCCTTTCTTTGTTTTACCTGCATCGGGGGTGTGTAGTACCTCCCTCACCTTGAAGATCGCTATTCGCATTCTAAATAACCGCATTACCGTGTATTCAAGTCGCATTCACATGGTAATTTGATGAACAACGCAATGGGAAAACGCGATCCAGATACAGCCCCATCAGCACCATAAAAGGGGGGGGGGAGGATGTGGCCAGGTGTGAATGGCTCATGCATACACATGAGAGCTCCTACATATTCAATGGAAGGAGCCCAGAAATAGTGACATGAGTTAGGCTTTTCTTATTTATTCAACTTAATGTTGCAACTGCACCATTTAGTCATCTAATTATTAATTATTTGCCATTGATTAAGTTTATGATATTTAATGAAATGTGTCACCATGGCCCAGTCAGTGAAAGGGTCTTCCCTACCCCAAGACCCCAGAGTGTTAACTAGTGGACAATTTTCAGTTAATCTCTTATCAGAGGACAAATGTGAGAAACAGCAAAAATGTAGCCCTTAAATATATTTTTATGTGCTGTTACTCTTAATTGAGCCATTGGCAGTCAGTGAGGTATAAATCATACAAGCACTTCTGCTCATTACCCTCTGATTGACTGACTTGTATTTGCTTATTTGCCACAGGGGGGCGTTGCTGAGCCTGGCTCCTGGAGGCCTGGGAAGCGCTCTGAGTCCGGCCTTGATGAGTAACAGCACCCTTGCCACCATTCAAGGTTTGTGTAGTTCTGATATTACTCTTCTTGCTTGGTGCCTGTGCCCTCCATTCCAACCAAGAGAGTGTGGTGGCTCCGTACTGACGGGGACGCGCCCGTGACTCTGGCCTCCGTACTGACGGGGACGCGCCCGTGACTCTGGCTCCGTACTGACGGGGA